CTTCCCACATAAAGCCCAGAGCTGACGGCTCTGAAACAGCCTGTCCCCGAATTCCTGACTGCAGGATTCCTAACACCTACCCAACGCACTAGGGTGCTTCATATGCAAACACCCACAAAGGCAGGCAGGTCACGACACAGCTCTGTCAGCATGTCTGAGCTGCAGATTCGGGGCAGGTCTCACACGCAGGGCAGATGAGGAAACCGAGTATTGCTGTGAATCAGTGCTTGTGAAGTGACGGTTATTTTTATACCAGTGTTTCCTGAGCATTTAACTCGCTGTACCGCTGCCATGTGCGGAGAGCAGAACTCCCGAACAAACGCACGCTTTTGATCTCTGTTATCACCACAGCCTCCTCTGTCCCTTCCCGCCCCAGAGAAATTCAATAGTTCTCAACACGTTCAGCTCAGGAAGAAGGGCTGGGGTAACTCTTGCTGAAATCCTACAGGGGAGCTCCAGGGCACCCACCGCACGTGGGATGCTCAGACTTCTAGGATCCTCACTCTCTGCAGTGCAGCCACATCTCGGAGAGGAGGACGTGCTATTGGAATGAGCCTTACCCCTCTCCGTAACGACCAGCACCGTCTGGGGAATGTTATGGTACACGTCCGGAGGGTTCTTCACGCTGCAGATGAACGTCCCGTTGTCGCTCAGCTCTGGGCTTTCGATAGCAATGGAAGCATCGCCCCTGGCAACGCTCCCGAGCCAGGATATCCTGTCTTTGAACTTTCCCACTGCCGTTGGGTATGGGACAGACTGGTAATGAAAAACCTAAAGGGAGACAGAGACAATAATTGTGCCAATAAAACACTAGTCTGAGAAAGCACAGTAAACTCCTGTGATTCTGAGTCAGCCCCATTTCATTAGATATCCAACGCTTTTATATGCCAGCCTCAGCTCTCAGATGCCACCGCTGCCATTTGCAGATCTTCAGTTGAGAAGCAGAGCAGGCTTCTTGTCTCGTGTGAGACAGAGCATTGCAGTTCCTCAGGTTCTGCTTGCACTTTGGCCCTTGCTGTCCTACGAGTAGTGACTTAGCAGACCTCGCTTCATATAAGCATCACCCTTTTGTTCCAGAAACAGGGACGCTCCTAAGAGTTCAGACTCCTCGGGCAGCACAAGTCACTGATAATCTGTAAAGATGTGCATTTTCTGCTTCCACCTTGAACGAGAGATTTTCAGTGGGCTCTCAGACTTATTTATTTATGCTTAGATTTCAAAACGCTGCCAACAAAACAGCAAGTAGCAGCCCATAAACCTTAGAGGCTGTCATCAGACTGTCATTGCACACATGTTCCTGCCGCTCCAAGACACATCAGCAGCAGCCTGCGTGCCAGAGCTGCTAGGGTACAGCAGCCTTCAAGAAAGCCACCCATCAAGTGCTTCACAGCCATTCTATACATAGCCACAGCAGACAACGCAGCACTTGTGTCAAAACCCACAGTTTATCTGCTTTATATCATGACACTGTGCTGCATTTACATCGAATAACTTTTGCCCAAAGAAACACTAAAGCCATTTCACATCGGAAAGAAGGTGACAATGAGAGTCCCAAAGCGATGAAGCAGCACAGCAAGGCAAGCAGAAGAAACATCATCAGATCCTCAGCATGCAGAGGCCTCTGTGAGAGAAAAAGACTCTGTGTTGCACTTACGGACTCCATCTGGCCACCTGTGAGGGGCCGGTACGTCCAGTCCACTGTCAGGCTGTCGCTGATGGGAGAGCTGGATTTGAAGGAGCATTTCAGCGACGCTCGTTCACCGACGAAAGCTCGCACTTTAGGACTGGCTTTAATTTCCAGGAGACACCTGCCAGAACAAGCACAGAAGACAAGGAATGGATTCCTGTTGTCTGTGAGGGGCAGGGGTGATGATGTCCCGAAGGCACGCACAGGTCAACCCCAGGCCAAGGGCTGAAGGGCAGCAGCAACCACCTCCCTCATAACCAAGTTTAAAGAGAAGCAAGCAACTTCTGTAATCTATTCTCTGTGAGATTGGAACTAGCCTCAGTTAAAGTATTTATCTGGAAAATACAACCAAGAGCCTACAGATAGTTAGACTGGAAGGTAATGAGCTGGAAAACCTGGCTCTGATGAGCTACTAAGTGCCAGCTGTAGACTACTTCAATCTGCCTGCCTTGCCCAAAGTAATACAGTCAGGGAATTGCACCTGCATCGGGTCAAGAGTCACCCCGCAGCAGCAAAGGACTCTGACTCCTCGTTTCCAGTGTGCGCCCCAACTTCTGCCCCGCTTGCCTCCTGCGATGCTCCCCCCGGGCT